CTTTGTTACTAGTGGTAGAAATAAACAAATATATTGCAGATTCTTCCAAAAGAAAGGCTCAGTGCAAACAGCATCAGTATCTTGCGGGATTCTGGGAGGTGGTGGAGGCAGGACTCCGCACAGCAGGGAGGACAGATGGAGCACGGGGCCGGAAGGCCGAGGCACCCAGGCGACTGGGTGATGCAGGAGCAGGACCCCTGGGGTTCCCCAGAGAGCAGGAGCTGGTGAGGAGTCTACAGAAGGCCAGGGAGCTTTGTCTCAGGGTAGCGTCTAGGCGGCGCGACTCTCCCAGTGACCCACCAGTTCCTGAAACGTGCAGGAGATGCATTCAAGTGGGGAGGAAGTGGATGTGTGTGGAAAGGGAAGCTGGTGCTGCCAAAGGCAAATCGCACCCGTGCTGTTGCCCTTTGATGTAAATCCTGCCGGGCCTGTCTACACCTGTGACTGCATGTGCTCTGCATGTGAGTTTGAAGTCAGTACACACGCTTGGCATCAAAATCAAAAGGTATAAAAAAGTGTTCAGTGAAAAGGAAATCACCTTCACTGCCCTTCCCGTCCCCAGCCTGAAGCCCCGCATTGGAAATATTTCTGGAACTTGTTCATCAGTGCCTGTGGCTAGCCCCTTTGGCTAGACTCGGGATGGTTTCGAGTCTTTTGTTCTTCCAGGCATCTTAACAGCTTTTATCCAGTTATTTCGCACGTGTGCCAGCCTGCAGATAAACTCCTGGGAAGGAACCCCATGCGCCCAGGAATGTTGAGGGGTGTTGCCAAACAGCTGGGTCGCAGGGTGCCCTTACCAGCGATGTTAGCAACTTTTTTTCAATTGTTGTCAACCTTCAAGGTATAAGACAGAGATCAGTGTGCCTTCGGTTTGCATTGATGAGTAAAGCTGAACGTCTACTCACATGTCTACAGACACAGTGGTTCCAAGGTGTAGACTCTTTGGCTTTGAGTGCAGGTCCATAGCTTACTAGCTGTGCAACCTTATGCAGGTTGGTTAACCTCTCTGGGCCTCAGTTTCCTGCATGGTGGAACTAATAAGAACATACATCTCCTGCGATTGCTGTTAACTCAACGTGATTCTCATGCAGTTAATGGCTTAGACTAGGGCTGCATCGGCTATAAGGTTCTGGGGGTCACGGCGTTTCCTTTTCCATGAACTGGCAGTTTTATCTGTCCTGTCTGATGGTGGTGGCCTTTTCATCTTTTTCACTGCCTTTTCACTGTCCCGAGGACAGTGCCTTGCCAGTGAGTGAGGGGAGAGGCAAAGCTGGCAGCAGGGAGGCTCCTCTGTGCAGAAGGGGGAAGGGCCGCTGCCCGAGGGCAGAGGCGGGAAGCTCCTGGGCCCAGGTGGCTCTGGAGGAAGAAGCAAAGCCACCGGGCAGGTGACACTGCCACCTCCTACCCCTCATCTCTTTCCTCCCTGGAGAGATGGCCCTGGATGTGCTGGGATGGACCCGGGGCCCCAGTCCGTGCTGCCTGCCTGGGGCCCCACTTTATGAGCTCTGGCTGAACATGGCAAGGCCACGCGAGCAATGTTTCTTCCCCGCTCTCCCTGGAACTCTGTCCCCCAGGCCACTTCATCACCACGCCCGGCGAACGCCCCAGTTCTCAACCCACTTTGCAGCCTCTGACCCTGGCGCTCTCTTCCCTGTGTGCTTGGTGTCTCCTTCCGCCTCGTGGCACCCTGGAGGGTGCGGGGTGAGGGGAGTGCTGGGGCCCCAACGTGCCCAGTGCGGCTGAGCGGGAGGGAACGTGAAACCGCTGGGAGTAGAGAGCGACAGCGGTGCCCGAGATGGGGTGAGAACCCAGGGGGTGGTGCAGAGGAAGGGGTGCCTCAGGGCCCCCCAGGCAGTCCACACTCCATCCCAGTAAGTGTCAAAGCTGCTTGGTGTTGGTTTTATTCTTCAATGTTTTTGTCTTTAGAAGTGTGTTAACTGTACCATATGGACATGGGCCTGATTCACGTTCTCTTAAAATAATCCTACATGCTTATTTTAGGAGAGACATTTCTGGAATCCAGAAAATTGTTTTTGCTCTGAAAACATACCCCACATTAATATCTATTTGGGGGTATGGCAGCTGCCCTCCAAACTCAGGGGGCACAGTGTCCTGTTGAGGACACGATTCACTTGGTGAACTGCCTGGCATTTTCCTTTCAGTGACTTCAAGGAGGTTCCTGATTTACTAATAGATCTTGTAAAAAGTGCATTTGCACAGTGGTTGCTTGAAAACTTGGCCACGATTTCTCCAATGCAGCAGTGGAGATTGAGTTTAAAAGCCAAGTTAAAGCGCAACAGGACACAGCACGATGTGCTTCTCAGCGGCCCAGCTACTCAGGAGGCTGAGGCAGGAGGATCACTTGAGCCCAGGAGTTTGAGGTTGCAGTGAGCTAGGCTCATGCCACTGTACTTCAGCCTGGGTGACAGAGTGAGACCCTGTCTCAAAAACAAAACAAAAAAAGGCTAAATGTGAGGTTTTGTCTTGGATTCTAAAGAAACCCAAGGGAACTATTCAGGATTGGCACAAAATGACTCAGTAGCCCCTAGTGGGGAAAAGGGTTTAAGATTTTCAGGAAATCACCAGTCAGGAATATCCAGCATGATCAGACTTCTTCAGAAAATCTTTAACATATATTGATGAAAGAAATTGGCTTCATTTAAGAAGACAGAGGCATGTGTTTATTTATATATGTTACCATGTACAGAAATTTCTTTCACAAAGTTCCTGTTAGATGGTCATCTCTGTTGAGAAATGTGATCAACTGTTAATTTTTGCTTCTGGGATGAAATAGGAGCCAGCTTTGTTTCTCTTTTCCTGGAGATACCCAATTGCCAGCACCGTCTCTTTTGGAAAAATATGTTCTTTCTCGGGGCACTGCAGTGCCACCGCCGCACTGTCTGGTGGCCGTCTACGTGGAGGTCTGTTTTGTATTGCGTTGACCTGTTCTGTCTTGTGCCAGAACCACACGGTCCTAACGGCTGTCATGTGAAAGAGCCAGGTGTGCGCTCTGGGGGGTTCACGTCTCCACAGTATCTTCTGGTCCGGATGGTGCTATTTCTCTCCATTTCTTTAGGTCTCCTTAACGTCCCCCAGAGTTTTACAACATGCTCTGCAAAGGTCTTTGGATTTATTCTCAGATACTCTGTATTCTTAATAAGAGCATATTTTCCTGTATAATCTTTACGCCCGATTTTCTTGTCTTACGGCGCTGGCTCGGGACTCAGTATGATGCTACATAGAGGTGACAGTATAGAAGGCTTCCTGGTGCTATTACTGATCTCAAAAAGAATGTTTTCTAAGTTTTATCATTATGTATGATATGTGTTATGGTTTTTTGGTAAATATCTCTTAACAGATAAGGAAGTTCCCTTATATTCTTAGCCTGCATGGGATGTTTCTAAAATCCCGAATGGATATTGAATTTTGTCATATCCTTTTTCTACATTTATTGAGATAAACGGATAAAGAGAGAAAAATATGTGGCAAATTTAATTAACTAAATTTTCTAATGTTAAATAATCTTGTATTCCTATGATAAAGCCAACTTGATTAAGGTGTATTATCCTGTAAAAATAGTATTAGATTCTATTTGGTGATATTATTTAGGACTTTTTCCATCTTTATTCATGAAAAGAAAATGATAGCAAATTCCATTCTTGTACTGCCCTAATTGAGGTTTGGGACCGAGGATAAACTAGTGACGTTAAATGCGTTGAGAAGTGCTCCCTCATTCTCCTTTCTGGAAGAGTCTGTGTCAGTTTGTAATGACACCTTCCTTGAAGTTTAGTAGAACTCAATTGAGCAGCTGTTAGTATCTGGGCCTGCAGGTCTGTTTTGTGTGTTGTGTTTGTTGGGAAAGTAAACTTTTTACCCAAATTCAATTTCTTTAATGTTTATAGGATTATTTACTTTTTCTATTTCTTCTTGAGTCAGCTTTGAAATTTTTTTTCTAGGAATTTATCTGTGTGGTTTGCATTTTCCCCTCCCTCCTACCTCCCCCTCTCTCGAACAGTCTTACCAAAGGTTTGTCTGTTTTATTCATCTTTCTAAGAAACAAACACTTGGCTTTGTTGATGTTAGTGTATTCATGTTTTTCTCTTCTGCTTAATTAGTTCTTTTGGTGTTTTCTTCCATATATTTCCTTTGGGTTGTTTTTCTTTCTTTTTTTTTTTTTTTTAAACAGAGTCTCACTCTGTCACCTGGAGTAGAGTGCAGTGGCGTCACTATAGCTCCCTGCATCTGCCTCAGCCTCCCGAGTAGCTGGGACTACAGGCACGCACCACCATGCCCGGCTAATTTTTCTATCTTTTGTAGAGATGCCTCAAGTAATCGTCCTACCTTGGCCTCCCACAGTACTGGGATTAGAGGTGTGAGCCATTGCACCCAGCCTTTAATCCATTTGGAGTTAATTCTTGTATATGGTGTTAGGTAAGGGTCCAGCTTTATTTTTTTGCAGGTGGATATCCATCTGTCCCAGCAGCATTTGTGGAAAATACCATCCTTTCCCCTGGTCTTGGCCCCGTTGTCGATGCTCGTTTGACCATATATGAGGGTTTCTTTCTGGACTGCCATGTAATTTCTTAAAGATTAATTAGTACTGGATCCATGACTCGTAACTGTCCGGCGCTCCGCGTCATGAATCCCAGGCTTTGGGGGATGCCGCCAGCCTGCTGCCGCCTCGCTCAGACAGGAGTCCTGTTGGCCACTTTTTCTTTCATGTTTCCCGAAGGCAAACATGGCGTGAGATACTTTGATCAAATATTTTTCTCAAATTATTTGTATCCTAAGACGAGTTCACTTTCCACTTGTAGCTAATGTCGGACGGTTAAACGGCGACTGGGCGTTAGTGTTCTTTCGGGGCACAGTTCACGTCAGAGCTTGAGCTTTACCTGCTCGTCCCCTCCCCTTTCTTCAGAACACCTGCGCTTGGCTCTCTCTAACCCACGGCTGTGTCCGATTGGCCAACAGGTTGCAACGTTCTTCTCTCGTCCCAGCAGTGTGGACAGCGCCACACGCCCCCCGAACGACAACGGCTCTTGCGTGCGTTTTCCAGTGCTGCTTTTGTCAGAGAGCCCAGCAGAGCCACGGGTCCTCCAGAGCCAGCGCTGAGCTGAGTGAGGAGTGCCCCGCAGAGATGGTGAAGATGACAAAGTCCAAAACTTTCCAAGCCTACCTGCCGAACTGTCACCGAACGTACAGCTGTATCCACTGCAGAGCCCACCTGGCCAACCACGACGAGCTCATCTCCAAGGCAAGTGGCTTGTGTCAAAAAACTTGATTTAAAAAAAAAAAGACGAAACCCCAGTAGCACAATGATTGTCTGTCATAGTGGTACCTACTTAGCAGACAGTGTTAACCATTACACGCCTTCCTGAATTTGCCGTGCCCTGAAGGTCTAGAACCTCGTGGGCAGTGTTGGTGAGTGCCGTGTGTGATCACACATGGCTACACCACGGACCTGGGCATGACCCGGGCAAGTGGGCGGTTTCCGAGGCCTCTGGGTCGCCCAAGGGCACAGAGCAGGATGCGTCAGTTACTTCTCAGAGCAGCACGATTCGTGGAAAGCCAGAGAGCAGTGAGTGAACAAAGGAAGTCTAGAAAGTCTACAAAATAGTTTAATAATAAGGGAATTAAGAAATTTTTAAAGCTCAGAATGATTACAAAGGAGAGGGGCAGCTCAGGCAAAGGCCATGAGGGTGCAGGTGCCTTTGCCAGGATCTGTAGGGGCCCCAGGGCGAAGCTCTGGGAGGTTCCGTGTGCAGGACCCATGAGCAGCCGGGAAGGTGTGGCAAGGACGCTGGCCCCCGCTGCGCTCGGCGCTGGCTGCGCGGTGCATGACATCTGCACCCAGCGCTGAGGACACGCATCGGGTGAGCTCCTCTGACCCATCCTCAGCAGGCCCGTGACCCCCCCACTCCTGCTGAGCGGCTTGAACCTCGCGCCGCTGCGAAACCGAAGTCCCACAGGAACTCGGGCCTTTCAGGAACCTCTTCATAGGCCTCTGGTGTAACTCCACCAGAACATTCATCTGCTTGTGTTTTTGCTGGGCGGTAGTGAGAGCTGCCTCGTTTCTGTTCCTCACCTGAAATAAACACTGTTAAGCAAAGCAGGGCTTCTCCTGCACCTCCTCTGTCCGTTCAGAAGGTCCCGGTAAGAAGAGGAAGCTCCGCAGGCACCTTGTTTACTTGGTGTGTTTTCTGAGGCAGGCTCAGCGTGAGGCGACACTGCAAGTTAATGAAAGGCAGAGCTGCTCTGGGCCTCCAGGTGAGGAGGTGAGGCTTGGTGACATCACTGACCTGTGACTCCTGCTTGTTGGCCATGACCTTTCACCTTAGCAGGTGGTCAGAGTCAGGTACCACATTTGTTTTTTACAAGACAAGGTCTCTCTCTCTGTCGCCCAGGCTGGAGTGCAGTGGTGTGATCATGGCTCACTGCAGCCTCGAACTCCTGCCTCAGCCTCCCGAGTAGCTGGACTACAGACATGTGCTTCCATCCCCAGCTAATTTTTAAATTTTGTGTAGAGACAGAGTCTCACTATGTTGCCCAGGCTGGTCTGGATCCCCTGGGCTCAAGCAGTCCTCCTGCGTCGGCCTCCCAAAGTGCTGGCATTACAGGTGTGAGCCTTCGTGCCCAGCCAGTCTTTTTGTGAAGCTTGCTGATTTATTATTTGTCTTAGGTAGGCCAAAAGGAATTTGAGATGCTTCTTTCGAAGGACCCCAAAGCCACTGAGCTGTTACAAAAATTAAATTGAGAGCAGGAGCCTGCTCTGCAGTCAGTGGAAACTGTTACCAGTCAGGACATTAAAGGAGCATTTCAGGATGAAAAAATGCCGAGAACTGAGCTCTCCAAGCACACAGCCGCCGAGAAGTATCAGACCTCGTGTCTCAGCTGGTGGCGAAGATGATGCCCAGAGTAAACTCTCCTGCTTTCACGGAGGTTCCGGATAAAGGAGATCATTGCAACTGCAAAGAACACTTGCCATGTGGAACAGGTTCTAGTATGTACGAGGCTAGAGGCACCGACAGCCTCTAAGCCCATCTTTGTCACTAACAGGTAACCCCCTGGTCCAAGGGAGCTTGTCCTTGTAGACAGCTCTAACTGTTGGGAGGCACTCTCAATAGTGAGCAGGCTGGGCCCTGCAGGATGAATCTGCCACTCCACCTGTTTTTGTAAAGTTTTATAGGCTCACAGCTGTGCTCATCTGTTTACAGTGCAGTTGGGACAGAGACCATATGGCCTGAAAAGCTCAAACTGTTTATCTCCTGGCTCTAACTTACAGAAGAATTTTGTGGACCCCCACGCTGGTCAGACTGAACTCTGAATCGGAATCACAGAGCTGCTCCTATGCCTGCTCCAAACCCTGTTTAAAACATAAGGGCTTTCAGGCCCGGCGCAGTGGCTCACGCCTGTAATCCTAGCACTGTGGAAGGTGGAGGCAGGAGGATTGCTTGAGCTCAGGAGTTCAAGACTAGCCTGAGCAAGAGCGAGACCCCGTTTCTACTGAAAATAGGAAAAACTAGCCAGGCATGGTGGCACACACCTGTAGTTCCAGCTACTCGAGAGGCTGAGGCAGGAGGATCGCTTGAGCCCAGGAGTCTGAGGTTGTAGTGAGCTATGATGACACCACTGCACTCTAGCCAGGGTGACAGAGCAAGACGCTGTCTCAAAAATAAATAAATAAGGACTTTCAGAATAGGTGAGAGAATTAGGAGATTCAGTACAGAAAACTGAAGGCTGATAGGATGTGTGAAAAGTCTATCAGATGATTATTAGTTAAACTTAATATAGAATAATATTCTTAATCCTAGAAAACCATTTAAGGGAGTAACTCACTAAGTCTGCAAGCTGTAACACTTACAGCAGTACCAGATGGATTAAAAAAGAAAACAGAAAAAGGGCCGGGCACGGTGGCTCACGCCTGTAATCCTAGCACTCTGAGAGGCCGAGGCGGGCAGATTGTTTGAGCTCAGGAGTTCAAGACCAGCCTGAGCAAGAGCGAGACCCCGTCTCTACTAAAAATAGAAAGAAATTAATTGGACAACTAAAAATATATAGAAAAAATTAGCCGGGCATGGTGGCGCATGCCCGTAGTCCTAGCTACTCGGGAGGCTGAGGCAGAAGGATTGCTTGAGCCCAGGAGTTTGAGGTTGCTGTGAGCTAGGCTGACGCCACGGCGCTCACTCTAGCCCGGGCAAAAGAGTGAGACTCTGTCTCAAAAAAAAAAAAAGAAAAAGAAAAACAGAAAAAATAAAACACTGCTAGCATCAGGCTAGGTAGAAATGAGAATCCCACATCTCAGTGGCTTAGAGCAAAGGTTTATTTCGTGCTCAGGAGAGATGTCTGTCCGGGGTCATCCAGGGCTCTGCTTTTTTTTTTAATTATGAAAGAATCATCGCTCATCATCACCCAATAGTGTGTGTGTGTAAAGTAAAATGTACTAACTGCTGCTTCCCCGGCCTTGTCCCCTCTACTCCCTGGCATCATCACTGGGGGCAGTTTGGTGTCTGTCCGTCTGTCTGTCTGTTTTGCTCTATAGAGACATTCTCCACTTTAAATAAAGACTTCGCTTCTTCACTTGGTATGTGATGACTGTCTTTCCGCGCCCACTGCTGCGGAACCCTCCCCTCCCCTGCGCGAGTCCCCCGTCGGGTGCAGCGGACCTACTGGTTGGCAGGTCTGACTCCCGTTTGTTTCGGTTGTGAACATCGTGAGGGTGACGTTCCCGTCACATTTCCTCACGGACCCAAGCTGCTTTGCTCTCTACACTCTCAGAAGTGGTACTGCGAGGTCCGCAGCTGTGCCTTTTACGTTTGGATGTCGGCAGCTTGTGTTCCAGGTAACGCTCCTCGCAAGTGCACGGATTTGTGTGAAGGTAATAGGCCAAAAAAAACGCCCAAAAAAGTCATCTAGATTTGGTTTGCATCTCTTTGATTATTGTTAAGGCCGACCACGTTATGTTGGTGGTTCCAGACAGGCCCCAGGGCAGACGGGGCCTCCCTCCAGGTTTCCCCCCGTCATGTGGGGTGAAGGTTGTCAGCACTGGCTGAGTGCGTCTGAGGGGCACAAACGCCCTGTTCTGGCTCCTCCTCAACTGGTGATATTTTCCTAGGGTGACATGTCACTGGAAGGTCCTTTTCTCCAAGTAAGGGGCCATCTTGGGCTGCGACTTGATTTTTATTTTAACGGAAGAGCGTGGAAACTTCGCCTTGCCCCTGCGGGCTGACAGCGACGCCTCCGCACTGCTGGAAGAGGCGGGGGAGAGCATTGTGAGGAGCTGTGGGTTTGGGGTGGAGAAAATCTTTCACGATTCCATCCTGGGATTTTCCAGTTGGATGGAGCGTCAAGCAGCTCCCTGGTTTTAAAAAAATGACTTTGCAATGATGGTCACTTGCAGGATGTTGAAGTGGACAAAATCAGCCACTTGCTGACCTCAGTCTAGACGCGGAAACAGCTTGTCGCTCTGCTCTTGCACAGCCTGTCCTGGCGCCAGGCTGGGCGGGGCCGCTGTCCGCAGCGGCGCTGCTCGCTCTGCAGGGCCCATGGCGCACCAGGTTCCACGTTCCCTGCAGAATGCAAACTCGCTGTTACTTGTTGTCTGACAGCAGCCAAACTTATAACGCCTTCTTCTTCTCTGCAGTCCTTTCAGGGAAGTCAGGGACGAGCCTACCTCTTCAACTCCGTGTGAGTAGCCTCCTCTTCCGTCTGTGGGCTCGGGTGCCTGGCAGGGTGGCATCGTTGCGTCCGTCTGGCCACCGATCAGTAATTCAAAGCTGGAACACGTAGGAGTTCCGCCAGCGGCCCAGAGTCACCCGGGTCTTTAGTGACCTGAAGGAACCTGCTCTCCCTCGTCAGGAGTTTCTGAAAGTGCAGCTTCTCCTCTGAGGGCCCAGCTCCCTGCAGCCCGTCCCATCTCGGGATTCTGGGGAGATAAAAAGTCTCCTTCGCATTAAAGGGTGGCGGCGCTGAAAAAACACAGCCCTACTCTGGAAAGTTCCCCAATTCTGGTGAAGTTTTTCCAGTGGGGGGGGGTGGGGCCCACCAGCCAGGCCAGGCTTCAGCAGGGTGGCCCTTCTGTCCCCGCAGGGTGAACGTGGGCTGCGGCCCCGCCGAGGAGAGGGTCCTTCTCACCGGGCTGCACGCGGTCGCGGACATCTACTGCGAGAACTGCAAGACCACGCTCGGGTGGAAATACGTGAGTACCTGCCAGTTCCAGCCGATTTGCTGTGGTAGCTATGACATGCCCCAAAGGGACACAATCTGCCACCGAGTAAAACCTGCCCCAAGCGTGACAGGCGAATACACGTTTCCAGGCGAGCTGCTTAGGGAGCCAGGCCAAAGCAGGTGTGGGCACAGGGCTGCTCGTGCTTGCTGTACGCTGGTCACCCGCGCTGACCCAGGTCTGGTGGAGCCGTCAGGGTGGGCCCGGCAGACCCCTCCCAGCCTGCCCCCAGCCTCTCAGGGCCCTGCTGGGGTCGGAGACGGAGGGCCACCTGGCTGCCTGCCCATGGGCTCTTGCCCCAGCCCCTTTCTCTGAGGACTTTGAATTGAAAGTCACCATCCCGGCCCGTCTGCAGCCTTCACCTCTGGTTCCCTGTCTCTCCAGCACGTGGTGGATCCGCCGCCCGAAGCCGCCTGCCTGCCCCTCACTCCGCCCACCCTGGCTCTGGTCTCTGTCCTGGCAGGCAGGGGCCAGCATTGGTGCTGGGCTCTCTCCTCCTCCACCCCTCCTGGCCCCTTCCAGAAAGCCTTGCCCCACTCTGGCGACCATGCTACATGCCCCTCTCCACTGCTGCACCTGCAGCTCCCTGCGGGGACGAGCTTTCCCGTGTCCACCCTACCTGGGGCTGTGGCTCCGGTGGGCAGGACTTGTCTCAGTCTTCTGTGTCCCCATCCCTGAGCACCAGGCCTCACACTCAGCAGTCCCTCCCCCTCGCCCCACAGAGGGCCTCCTCTTCCCCTAACGTCTTTGATCTGGGTCAGCGGCTCTCGCTGTTCCCGTCGTCAGTCTCGTTTCACACGGAATTCCTGGAAGCGTATTTCTCTCCATGCCTCCGCAGTCGCCCCCACTTGCTCCATGTTCCGTGGACAGACTTGCACTGACGTTGCCCTGCGACTAATGACGAACGCAGAGTACACCTGCCCTGCCCCGATGGGCTCGGCTCGGGACAGACCCTCTGGCACTGGGTCAGCTCGTGGCTCAGGGAACATCTGGGTGTAGATAATACTAGTGACTTGGTTTTTTTGCCAAGAATGTAATGAAATTGGAAAACGAGACATTCTGTCCTGAAATCTCCTTTCTCTCTACTCTTTTTTAAGGAGCACGCCTTCGAGAGCAGTCAGAAGTATAAAGAAGGGAAGTTTATCATTGAGCTTGCTCACATGATCAAGGACAATGGTTGGGAGTAAAGTGAGAACTTTCCATTCTCTTTGGAATCCTATTTTGTGAGAGAAACTGTGAGTGTGACGGAAACAGAAACATTCTGGATGGCAGTGTCTCTTGAACTTTAACCCCACAAGCCAGCTGCGCACAGGGCTCGACTGGCGCAGGCCTCTCGGCTGTTTCCTTGGGAGGGGCCCCCAGCCTCCGTCCTCTTCGAGCACGCACTTGTTTCTGAAATCTTCCATGACTTTGACCTTTTTCTAGCTTCTCAAAGCTCTAGAGAAAGACTTAACCACCTGATGACTGACCCGCCTAGTCAATATCCTCTTTTAACCTGCGCCTTCAGCGCAGTGTGGCCATGTTCTTTTATGTTCCATAGAAAACCAAACCAAGTCTCTAAAGACCACAGGGACAGGGTCTCTTTAGAGAGCAAGCCTCACCTCTCACTTTTTTAGGGTGAAGGTGTTGTAGCCACGCCCCCACCTTTCTTCTAATTCACGAAACTATACATCGGTTATTCTTCTTGCAGATGAACTGTTAAGGCACAGTGTTCGTTTAAGATTATTTCAGGTGCAGTCAACAAATTCACATACCTAGAGTGTTCTATTTTTTAGTCTGTTCAAAAACAGAGGACAGCACTGATGACATTTTAGATTAAGCTATAGATAGAGAAGTGTCTAGTGGAACATCTTGTTTATTTAAGCCAATAGATTCCTTACCTAGAAAGCAAATGAGCTAGTCCTTAGAGAAGACTGTCCCGGGGGCCCGTGGAGGCGACAGCCTTGCGGGGTCTAGTCCCAGAGCTGCACCCTCCCTGGCGGCAGCTGGGCCATGTAGTTCCAGAGTCACACACTGGACAGAGGAGAAGTTGGATTCCATTTTCTACCCTGCTGTACTTGAAGAAAAGAATGATTTTTGCATATGAAAGAGGCAGAAGCAACAGGAAAAACTTCAAAACTTGAGATTTGCCAGATTGTTTTAAATTTTTTTCAGAAAGAGTTAAAGTTTCAAAACAGATTTTAACTTTGTAATGAAGATGTTTGGTTTGCTGGAGGAGTCGCCCCTCCTTGCCTGGTGCTGTCCCGTGAGCTGACCCATCCCCCCACCTCCACGGCATGTGTTCCACAAGGGGCTTGTGGCCATTTGCAGAGAATGGAGGCCAAAAAACACTCCCAGATGAGGTTTGCATTGCAGCATTGGGTAACCTGACTTGGGGCTGAGGGGTGGGCAGAGGGCCAGGGAGGCACAGGGGCAGGAGATGGGAGAGCCACCAGCTGCTTGGCCCTCAGCCTGGCAGATGGCTCTGGAACCGCCTCTGACAAGGCTCGCCTGGGGCAGCAAGTGCGAGCAGGTGAGGACAGTGAGGAAACAGCCTCCAGCCCAGCTCCAGGCCCCACCCCGACTCCACCCGGACCTGTGGCCAGTGCGGCGCTGGGCTGCTGCCCGGCTGATCCACCACTCGCGCTAGAGCAACCCTCCGGTACCACCTCCGCCAAGATGCCAGGCCTTGGGATGTGGGAAATGCTGCTGCCCTGGGCGCTGTGGCCTGCCGGGCTCATCCCTGAGACGCATCAACTCAGCAGGAGCGGTGGCAGCAGCAGCTCCTTTAAGCACGTCTCCAACTTAGCGAAGGAGGGCAGCCTGCGCACAGCTCTGGAAGCCTCTGCACTTGGCTGTGGCCCAGCGAGCTGCTTCCTGGTGGAGTCAGGCCCGGCGCATCCCTGCGCCCCCGAGCTAAGAGCACAGTGTCGCCAGCCCGGCAGGGCTCCTGAAACCTGAAGAGGCTTCGCTCACGTGCTGGCACACGACGTAGCGACACCTGTGGCTTCAGCCTGTAAGTGTGGATCTGGGGGGGCTGAGCCCTTCCTGCTGGAGGGACGGGCACCATGGTGGGAACCTGTCGCACACGCTCCCTGCTAGTCTCCGTTCCTTTTGGGTGACCCCACCCTGGGAGGCCTCAGGGGATGGGGTGAAATGGCTGGGGAGCTCATGCTGTCACCACCCTGCTGGGCCATGCGGGGGACAGCCCCATTCCTGAGTGTCCATAAGACACTTCACTTAAATTGGAAGAATCTTTTAAAATCCTTCTGACCAATTTTTGTATATACTAAACTATATTTAAAGCTTTTATATGTTCTGGGCAAGTTTACTGCTCCTTCGATTTGAGCACTTTGGTCTTTGTATTGTCTTTGGTGACGGCATTGATTGCAGATTTTTTACTAGTTCTCTTATGACTTATTTTGTATTTCTTTTTTGTAATTGATACCAACAAAACTTTTATCACTTCTTTGTTGGTCTTCTGCAAAATACAAGCTCCTTTTTAAACCAAATGAACTGACCGTGAGCTGGCTTCAGGGGAAGTGATATTCACAAGACCGTAACCAGATGGGCTGGTGAAGTGCTGGAATGTTCCACCCTCTTAAATTCCTAAACAATATCACCCATGACTTAAATATTTAAATTATTTAAAATAATTTTTTCTTGAAAACAATGGGAGATGATGTCAGGATTATAAATGCATTTAACTTACACTAGTGTCTCTGGCACAGTGCATTTGCTTTAGAGATGTGGTTTAGTTGTCATTTTATACACACACACACACACACACACACACACACACACACACACACACACAGTATTTTTATACCTTAACGATTACTCTTGATGGCATCTGTCAGATATTAGAAAGGATCAGAAATGAGAATTTTCCCAAAAGTCCTTTAATTAACACGCAATTACCTCATTGGGTAATTACAAAAGCCAAGCGATTTTAATATCTAGAAAGCTACAGTTTAAGCTCTAAAACGACCTACAGAAATGTAAGCCCTCATCTGTCAAAGGCCCTTGGTTTGGGGGCGCTGCAGGCTCTGCCCCTGGAGTGAGCACATGGCCCTGAGGCCTCCTCTCAGGCCATGGGTGAGGCTGGCCAGACGCAGTGGCCTGGGACCACAGAGCTCGTGCGCAGGCTACCCTCAGTCGCGCCTCCAGCCCTGGCCCCATGTCTGTGTGAGGTTTACAAATAAAGCTTCCGATGTCTGATGTCTCGTTTTAACTCGTGCCCACAGTGGAGCTGTGCCCTCATACGGATGGACCAACCCTGGCTTCCTGCAGGGTACTGGGAGAAGGTGGCCTTGGGGTCCCCTGGCACCTCCCCATGCTTCTTTGCTCGATGCCATTGCCATGGGGGCTTGTGCGTGGGGACAGAGAAAGGTGGGCCAGGCTGTCCCCATAGGGCATACAAGGTGGGTGCAGGTCCTCACCACAGCCGGCCGCTGTGGCCCTCCCGGGCAGGCGCAGTTTGGCAAGTGAACCATCTGCAAGCCTGAGTTCCCGCCTGCCTGGGCCGGCCTGGCACAGAGGGTGTCGGGGGCCTGGGAGGTCACTGCAGAGGCATCTTGTTCCCGGCACCAGGAAAGCCAGTGACTGCATGATGCAGGGTGCCAGGGGCCGATGTGCCTGCTGCAGGTCACTGGGCAGCACGGGGACAGGCAGGGTGGGAGCCTCTCCAGGGAGACAAAGGGCCGTGCCTGCTGCTGCAGCATCAGAAATGGGAGAAGGAAGTGCCACGGTACATTCTAGAAGTCAGAGCTGACGAGAGTTGCTGACGGAGTCAAGGTTTTGGGTGAGGGAAAGGAGAAAACCAAAAACCACGCCTAAGTCAGCATTTAGTGTCAGGAACGGGAAGGGGGTGGTGGCCCAAGGAGGAGAGTGTGTGTGTGTGGGGGACAGGGCCTGTGTTTCCCTGGCCTCCAGGGAGGGGTGGGGCCCAAGACCCAGAGAATGGAGGCCAGACCTGCACAGGCTCTGAAGATGGGACGAAAGGCCAGCGAGGGCCAGTGAGTGGAAAGTTTTTGGAAACATTTAGCAGAAAAATGGGGAGAAAAGGAGGGGTCTCTAAGGTAGGACATGCTGCTGCTGCCCGGAAGCCAGGAAAGGCCAGGATTAGGAGCAGAGTCCTCGAGCGCAAGGACAGGCAGCCCTGGGACGGGAGCCAGGCTGGCAGAGCAGGCCCGCAGGAGCACGTTCGGTCCCCCCAGAGCCCAGGCAAGGGGTGGCAGGTTTTCGAAAGTAACATCAGTGCTCTAGTCCAGGGTCCTCACACTTCAGCATTCAGAAGCCACTGAGGGTTTGTCAAAGCAGATGATGGAGGAGCCCACCCCCAGACGCTCCGGGTCAGAAGGCCTGGGGTCAGAGAACTTCTGTCTCTAACAAGGTCCCAGGTGATGGCACTGAGTGTGTAAACAGGCCGTCCCTGAGAAGATGACAGAGACGGGAAGAAAGCCAGCAGGAGGCAGGACGATTACTTGGGCCCAGGAATTTCAGTACAGCTTGGACACCACAGACTGTCTCTACAAAAAATTTTTCAAAAAAAGGAAAACCAGAGTGGGGAGACACAGGCCTGCCCACCAGAGGCCCGGGCCTCGGGCTGGGTCTAGCGCAGGTTCCGTGCCTGGAGGTCTGGGAAGTGGGCTCGGGCGGCGCTGAGGCCTCGGAAACGGCCAGGCCGCCGGGCACCAGGTGAGGGATGGGGAGGCTGTGGGCTCCCGGGGGCAGGAAAGGGGACCCCAGGCAATAGGCAAGAGCTTTATTGGATGGCAGCCTGGGAAGGCAGAAAACTCAGGGACAGACATGCAGCCCCCAGCCCCACATCCCTACCGGGACCCAGAGCGGCCAGCCTGCTGCTACCAGGAGCTGAAGTCCCCAAAACCTTGGCTGGGCTTTTTCTTGGCCACGGGGACAGCTGCGCTGGTGGATGGTTCCTCTTCTGCCGCTCGTTTCCTGGGAAGCAAAGAACCAGACTCCAGCACTGTGCACGTGCCAGGCCCACGCCGTCCTGTCACATCCACTCTCCACACAGCCCGCCGTGCAGAGGCCCAGTCCCCAAACACAGCTGCTGCTCCCACATCCCCCTGAACCCCATCGCTGCAGCCTGCACACAGGCCCCCAGCCTGGGCCTCAGGCCTCGCAGGTGCGGTCCCCCTGGCTGCAGCAGCCCCGCGGCACGAGCTCCCACCCGAGCCCAGGGCTTGCTGCTTTCTTGCCACGGCCAGGTCTACCCCACGGGCCTCAGCCAGCCTCGGGGAGCACCACAGGAAACGGGGCCCAGCCCTGCCCACTCACGTGGCTGCCGGGTTGATGTACTTGCCCACCCCCTGGCGGAACGTCTGGGGGCCCTGGCTCCCCGCCTGGGGCTGGCTGGTCTTCACTTTGGTCTCCGGGGCCACCTCTAGCTGCGTCTTCTTCCGCTCCTCAGCGATCTGTGGCAGGACAGGGCTGGGGCTGACCCATGGTGCCTGGGCTAGGGCTGTGAGGAAGGAGGACGTGCCCAGGCCCCTCCCCAGTGGCAGCATTGTACCCGCCTCACCTGAGCATCAGCCTCCTCGTAGGGGTCCACGAACACGGTGGTGGCGTCGATGCGGATCTCCTCCTAGCGGCAGGCAGAGGGGCACTCAGGGTGGCAGGCCCGTTGCTCCCACCTGCCTGGCGCCCAACCACGCAGTGGCCTCCCAGCATCGCCCTGGGCACATACCTTGGGGCGGTCAGTTTTGGGGTCACTCTCCACGTTCTCCATGGCTGTCAGTGTGTCAAAGCCCCCAACAACCCTGCAGCAGCAGGACAGAGGTGGGTCTCCACATGCCCAGCGCAGGGCAGCCCCCTGGCCAAGTCCCCAGGGCATGCCAGGAAGGGAGCTGGCCTGACGGTCCCCTGGCAGCAGCCAGGATGCAGGGCCCTGGGCAAATCCAGCTGGTTTTGTAAATGAAGTTGCATTTAGACAGAACCACACACGTTTCCTTCCATACTGTCTGTGTTGAGCTGCTACTGCAGGGCAGGGTAGTTGTCACAGAGACCATGTGGCCCACAAAGCTGGAAATACCGCCTGGGCCCCTACAGTAAACATCTGCCAACCCCTGGGCTAGAGGATGAGGAGACCAACATGGCCAGACTTCGGGCTCAGGTGCCATTGGGTCTGAGACAGGGCAGCCGGCCAGGCCGGGTGGGGACACGTCCCCTCCTCTCCTGAGCCCGACAGGCCTGGACAGCCAGACGTTCCCATGCAACAGAAGCTCCCAAGTCCCCACTCTGGAGCCTCAGCCCCAGCAGTGACAGCAAAGACACCCCCAGGCACAAGGCAGTGGGTGGGCCCAGGTAGGGAAGGGACCCACCCACCCACAGGCACCCCCTCCTTCACACAGCGCTTCTCCTACCGTCCAAAGATGGTGTGCTTCTTGTCCAGGTAAGCACAGGAGCGAAACGTGATGAAGCTGGGGAAGAGGGTGGGGGTTAGGGGGAGCGTAGTGGGGTCCCCACCTGTCCTGCCTCAGTCCCAGTCACTGCTGGGCACATAATAGGAGCCGCCCACCCTCCAGAGACACACAGGTGGGCGCAGCCCCCACTGCCGCCGCCGGGGCAGGCTGTGAGCCAAGGCCACCCAGGTCACCCCTGACCTCGGGCTCCCCAGGAGAGAGCCCAGAGCACAGCCACCTGCCAGGTGGACCCTGTGCCTAGAGCGGTAGGTAGCGGCTGCATGGGAGGTGGCTGGGACGGAGGCAGAGGGAAAACGAGAGCTGGCACCGCCCCACCAGGGCCCTGCTGAAGGACCAAGGACTCGGAACCAGGAGAAAGGAGGTGACGGAGCAGAGCAAGCGTGCAGGGACTGGGAAGCCTGGGTAATGGAAGGAAACGCAAAGGACAAGACCCCATCTAACTCTGTCAGCCGTCTCAATTCCACCCTGTTTTTATATCAAATCAGACCGCCAGGTGAGCTGGCCGTCGAGAGCAAAGCCTTCCCCGGGGCGGGTGTGGACGGGAGGCAGAGACATGAACTATAACTTTGGACTTGACCTCCACGTCCTTCTTGACTTAGACCAGAGGCAAAACATCTTAACTTCCACACCAGGAGAAAGACGCGAGGGGAAAATGAACAGAAATATGAAAAAGGGCAGACAGAAAGCACCAAGTCAGACAACAGGAAGCAGTAAATGGACATGTGGGACCGTCAGGATGAATGACAAACGGAAGCCAGTGTGAGCCTGTGCAGGAACCCACGAGGCTGAAGGGAAAGGACAGAAGATGACGCCAGACCACAGGCGCCAGTAAGTTTACGGTGCCCGAGGCACGAAGTGGTCCAGACCCTGCTGGTGACCGACATGGGATTTAACCTCCACGAGGCATTGAACGTGGCCACCCAGCTCTGACCACACCGGGCCACCGGACGAGTCTCTGCAGATGTCTCACCCGCGACTGGGCAGACATGAACTCTCACCTCCGAGCGGGTCTCTCTCACTGATTTCTAACACAGCTAAGAGGCTAGAAAGAGAATGAAATAAACCTGAAGAAAACAGGACAGAAATAAAAGAATAATGAAAGGGAAAACAAAAGCCTAACAAATATAAAGCCTGATGTTCTCTAAATAGACGAATAAAGCAAATCTTTGGCAAGAGTTGTCCAAGCACAAAAAAAATTAGAATTAAAAAAACTAGGCAGCGACTGCTCCAGCAGTTTCACAGGCTGGTTACACCAAAGTTCGGAATAAATAATAAAGTGACCCTCCCCCAAACAACAACAAAAACAGACCAGGCAGGCAACCTACTGGGAAATAAGAAACGGTCCCAGCCAATCCTTGGCTAAGAAGTTGGATTTTTTTAGTTAAAAAAAATATTTAATGGCTAATCTTCTCTGTATTGTTCCAACCTCAGTACACCTGCTGCCGCAGCAAGCACATGAGAAATTCAGAGGAAGACGACCAGCGATCAGCAAGCTGGGAAGAGGGGACGTGCGACCTCGGGAGGACGGGCGCCGCCGTCTCCAGTGCGCCAGGCCCAGACGTGGGTTAGGAGAGTGGAGGCAGAGGACAGACGCCAAGGAGAAGCAATCAAAGACAGAAACTGGAAAACACTGCACGAAAGCAACAAGAGACGAGCCCTTCATAAACCATCACAGCAGCAAGGAACACAAATGTGACTAGCAGAGAGAGGAGAGTGACACCGATGGAAAGGCCCAGAGAACACAAGACTCTATGGAAACAAGTGCGAGAACCAGGGATGGAGGAGCTGAGCTCTGGCCAAACAGCAGCCATCCCGCTGGAATAGCATCAGTGACCTCGAGCTGTCCCTGGCTGTTAACGACAGCTGACGCCAGTGTGATTTTAACTATTCCAGGCCACAAAGCTACGGCAGCGCCACTGACACCAAAACCTGCTCCAGCTGGTTCACATAGCTGAGACCACAGCATAGGCAGAGGTGGCGAGGGCCACCGGCAAGGGCCACAGGGCAGTGACGACAGGCAGGCTTACTCCAGGACACATCGGAGACACAGTTGGAAAGGCCAGGCCACTGTGGCCTTGGGGTGGCCACGTCCACACATTGCAGGACAGGAAAAGCCTAAGATCATCGTAACAGATGCTAAGAAAAAAGCCTCTGGAAATGCAGCCACTTCTGAACAGGCTCATCTGGTGTCATCAGACGCCGCGACAGCATTGCACTGGGCACCCGCGGGACACCACAGCCTGCTCCCAACAGCCCCGGGGACTGACATGCACACCAGGGCAGCAGAGAGGATGCCACCTTTTGCTGAAAAACTTGACTATCTAGAAAACCCAAGAAACTCTTAATAAAAACTATTTGAATTATAAGAAAATTTAATAAATTGGCTAGATATAAAATAAACTAGTTTTTCTCTACATGAGCAACAATCAACAATTGAAAAACAATTCCATTCACAAAAGCATCAAAAAGTATAAAATTCTTAAGGGGCAGCTTAAGGCAAGGGACACAGTTGTGACGACAACGAACGGCATTAAAGTCAGAAACACGTCCGAAGGGCAAGTCAAGCTGCGCTGTCCGACAGTGGACGGCGGGACACGCACGTCTGCTCTTCCACGACACGGGGCCGCCCTCGGCCCTGCCGCCGGCGCTGCCTCCCCGCTGCTCTCCCTGTGCGTCGGGTCACACGCTCTGCCGACCGCCCCTCCCTGTCCAGCCCGCACCCTGCACGCTCCGTCCCAACACACTGGTGTCTGCGGCTGATCTCCCAGCGCTGCCCTGGCCACACGCACACCCCGGTTCCTGTTCTCTTGAGGACACACGCTGCCGTGTGCGGCTATCCCTGCCCACTGGCTCTGGGGGTCCCCTTTTGATGTTGGTGCACATGCTCCGCCTGGGAGTGCCACACACTGCCCGGACTGGATTCAGGACCAGCACAACCCTTAGGGAGCGGCTAAGAGGAGCAGCCCACAGGGAGCTCCGGGTCACCGCCCCAGGTCCCTGCCCGGCCCAGCAGACTCACAACTGAGACTTGTTGCTGTTGGGCCCCGAGTTGGCCATGCTGAGGATGCCCCGGCCCGTGTGCGAGAGGTTGGGCCGGAACTCGTCCTTGAAGGGCTTCCCCCAGAACGACTCCCCACCTGGAGAAGAAGGTGCACAGTCAGCAGCAAGAACCCAGGGCCCAGCCGGGCCAGCCCTGAAAACTCTGCGTCCTGAGGGGCATCAGGCCTTGCTGGGCCTGCCCAGAGCCCCTGTGCCCACACAGGCAGGCTGCTGCCCACTCACCCTCGCCCCTCGGGGGCCTTGCCCAGGACAGGATTAGAGGGTCAAGGCCACAGTCATCACCACTCAAGCGACGGGGAGCGGTAAGGGCCAAGCAGCTGCCAGGCTGGGCTTAGGCCTCGGCAGGGAGGGCCGGCCAGGGCCTAAGGCGGCCATCCCTGGGGGGTCCAGGGAGGAGGCAACACACTCCTGTCCCCTCCATCCCGTAGGCCCCATGACCACCTGGAAATGGGAGAACCGATGGCCTGAGGAGCACAGCACTGGGGCTGTGTACCATCTGTGCGATCCCTCAGATTCGGCATCGGAGCTCGACACACAGGCCCGTCACCAACCCCTCGTGCCCCATGGAACAGCCAAGGGTCCCAGGGAGGGGCGGCACCTACCTGTGCCTGTGCCTGTGGGGTCCCCGCCTTGGATCTGTGAGAAGAACGGAAGCCAGTGAGCCCGTCGTGCCCCGAGGCCCACAGCCCACCCTGCCGCCCAAATCCCCACCTGGCACATGCGCTCCCCGGGGGGCTCCGGGCTCTCGGTGAGGACGAGGGACCCTCCCACCCCTCTCTGAGGGAACCAGCTCTGCCTGGGCTGGAGACTTGAGGGGTAGCCCACAGATTCCCTGACCCATTCACCTACTGGACTTCCCTGGTCACCATGGCCTGGCCCAGGTGCCTGGGACGGGCCCCTCCGGCTCCCCAACGTCCCAAGCACGTCGGTGCAGCCAGTGACTCGCATCACTCACCACAAAGTTCCTGATGGATCTGTGAAAGATGGTGCCATCGTAGTAATGCTTCTTGCAAAGCCTGATGAAGTTTTCGCAGGTTTTTGGTGTCTGCAAAACAGCCCTGATACTTCTGTGAGGCACGTGGCAGCCAAGGGCAGGTCACAAAAGCCACTGGGGCATTTACCACATGGCAGACATGGTCAGCTGCCCAGCACACGGGGCAAAGAAGGACTCAAGCAGCCGTGGGACCCACAGCAGGCGCAGGGGACAGGCACGGGCAGGGCAGCGGACAGAGCCAGCCCCTTTGCCGCCAACAGGTCCCCTCGGGCGGACACGGGTACCATGGCTCCCTCTTGGGGGCAGGCTACTAGTGGCAGCTCCATGTTGAAGACACAGCTGCCAAATGACCCCAGAAAAAGGCCCAGGGCAGGGTGAGGGGCGGCTGCCACACCCACCAGGTCGCAGTGCAGTTCCAGGTTGAGGTCGCCCCTGTTGGTGTGCAGCCGCACATAGCCCTTCTTCCTGACAAACTGGTAGCGCAGCACGTCCTCATCGATGGCGGCTGTGAGCAGAGGCCTGAGCTCAGGGCCTGCCCTCGCCCTGGGGCAGCCCCGGCCCTGGATGCACAGGCTTCGCACTGCCCAGCTCTGGGGAGCGCGAGGGAGCAGGGGCCGTGGTCTGCCTGGGCCTCACAGGCTCACCTGGGCCTCGTGGGGCAGCAGTTAAAGGAGGTGCCAGAAACGCCCAGACGTGGGCTGGCGGGGCAGCCTGGGAGTGGAAGAATTTGGGGCTCAGGTGACAGTGGGGGCCACTGACAAGTGGGGGGATGGTGTCTAGGTGTCCATGGAGCCATGGGGACGTGAAATCGTGAGGCAGGGCCAAGTCCACAGAGCAGGAAGAGAAGCTCCTGGCCTGGGCCTGGCACACACTGTAGCCCCTCCTGACCTCAACACAAAACCCACTTTCCAAGAGGGCCTGACCCCACCTGCCCACTCCTAAGTGGCACCACTGAGAACTGCTGAGGAAGGCGGGCAGGGGGAGGGCACCCGTCCCTGCCACAGTCACACATTGTGACCGGAGAAGAGGAGGCGGCTACCTGCTTCGTGCGCAGTCTCCGGAACCATCGCAGTGGAGGTGAAGGAGGCACTGACCTTCCCCGTGGAGTAGTGGGCCTGCCAGAACACCAGGCAGTGCCTCAGCAGTGCCCTGGGAGGCCAGCGGGTGGGGACACGGGTGCCAGCCTCGAATCCAGCCGCACATCGTCCGTGCACCAGGGCCTCTCCTCCATGAAGGCCTCCCTGATCCCCACCCCTGGGCCCAGCGGATAGCTGGGCCAGCATCGGCCTCCACTCAGGGCCCAGGCCGGGAGCCAAGGACGGGGACCCAGTGACAGCAGTGGGAGGGAGGCCACGACTGGCCCAAGCCAGGGCCCTGGCCTCGACTGGGCTCCGACTCTCATGGCCTTACGTGAAACCCTGGAACAAAATCCTACACAAGACCGGCCACCTCACGGTTAGGAGTGTGCGTGACCCCTCCATTCTTTATAAAGGTTGCAAATTTCTATAGTAAACACATTATCTCTTTGATCGGGGGGAAAAAAGCCCCAATATTTTTTATCATAGAGAAAAAACATGGGGTTTCTCCCCATCAGGAAAAAATACACTGAAGTGCAAAGGGCGGTTGTCTTAGAACAGGGAGACCATGGTCAACAAACTTTCTTTTCTAAATTTCCCAGATTTTCTAGAATTTGGATAATTCTTTAAGCGGGAGAATGTCAGAGCTGCCTGCCTGGCCACTGTACCTCCCCCAGCTACACTCCCCGGCTCTGCCTGAACAGGGGTGGAAAGTGAACGCGATGGCCCCAGACGCAGGCCTGAGCACAGCAGCCGTGGGCACAATGACCCCCAAGCATCACAGTGGTCCCCAAGTCACCCCAACTCCGGTGAGGCAGATCTTCGAAGCTGGGCTCCCACTTACCCGTCAGTTGGTTCTTCGCTGCCCAGCATGGATGCCGGCCCCACCCCTGGCCCCTTGGCCGCCCCAAGGAATAGGCACCCAGGGACCTGGGGATACCACAGCCCTGGGGGTCCCCCCGTGCCCCGCAAGCCCCTCCCTAGGACTACTCAGAGGCTGGAGACAGGCGGGGGACGGAGCTCGGCTGAGCACCCTCGGCACTCACGGCATTCAGCTTGTCCACCTTCTTCTTCTCCGGGACCTTCATGGTGGCTGCCAGAACCTCGTCCCCTTTGAACTCCTTGTAGAGCTCCTGCAGGGTCTCCCGCGTCTCCGCATTTGTGTTTTTCAAATAATAAGACGGGTCCTGCTTGGCCTTCTCTTCATCTGCAAAACAGTATGTGGCCTTGAGCGCCAAGCCCCTAGCAGCGGCCCAGATGTGTGTGGCGGGGACACAAATTCAGAGCAGATGGCAACAGCGGGAACCACAGGCGGGTCAGGCCACAGCGTGGGCCCCGAGCTGCTGCCACTATCCCCGCGCAGCAAGGCCAGGCGCCCAGCCACAGGCCTGCAGGGACCGCCCCCACACAGTTACCAGAAGTCTGGGGGAAGGCTTCAGGTCAATTTGTATTTTCTTCTTTATATTTATCTGTATGTTCCAATCTTTTTATAACATGTTTTGCTTTTGTAATTTTAAAAGCTATTTTTTAAAATAATAGAAGCATTTGGGGTCTGTGAAACCCCACTGGATGTGCAGTGCCCCATCTGTGCCCACCCAGGACAGCATGTGCTGCCTGTAGGGCGAGGGCACAGCCCACCCTGTGGAGGGGAGGGGGCATGGGCTCAGCCGGACCCCGGACACCACAGGCCTCTGGGCCTCCCGAGCTCGCATCTCCCTAGATCGTTGCTCAGTTTCCCTAAATTCTAAGTAGTTCATGCGACAAATGACAAGTGCCTAGGATGCTGTTCTGCAGAGCTGAGGCCAGCTGAGCCCCAAGCGTGACTTGCTGGTTGTTCGAAAACTGCACGCGGCCACGAGTGAGCCCAAAAAACACGAGGACCCCCTTTACCCCACAACCTGCTCTTTGACAGCGCAGGTTGATCCACGGGGAGCACAGGGACCAGGGCCCACATGGCTACAGGACACAGGCCTCAGGCAGCCCATTGCCTCCACCTGGACAGAGCAGTGGTCAACAGGAGTCCAGGGAGGTGCGCAGCCACGGCCGAGGGGGAGGTGAGGAGACGTCCTGGCGGGGCGGCAAGGCTAACTCGCCTGTGTTTCTGGGCTGTAGTCAGCTCGGGTCCTCTGGGGCGGAACAGTGTTCAGAAAACGCAGGCCTGTCGGCTTGAGCTCCATGCCCCCAAGAGGGTGGGGGCCTTGCCCAAGGGGGCATGCCACCCCTGCTTCCCCCAAAGCCCTCACCCAGCTCAGCCCCTGGTTGAACATACCTGGGTCTATTATTTTCATGTTATTCTTAACATGAAAGAAGTTGGAGACATTGAACTTGTCCAAGTTGGTGGGGTCCTGTGGCAAAAAGACAACGCCCAGCGCAGTGAGCCCAGCACTAGAGCCGGCCCCGCCTGCAGCCCAACAGCAGCCACACGCACCAAGGGGCGGGCAGGTGCCAGGAGGGGGAGGCAGTGGCATTGCCCTGAGGCTGGGGGCGTCGAGTAGTGTACGGGGGAGGGGAGTGGGGAGCTCTGCCCCGGGCAGGGTGACAAGCAGCGGCAGGGTGGGGACAGGGGGCATAGAATTACTAGCTGTTCACCAAACTGTGCACCGTCCCTGTTAGGAAGCCACAGACGGGAACGTGGACAGCATGGGGCCGCTCTCTGATTAGAATGGGACAAGCCACAGAGGAGGTGGCTGCACGTGGCCTGGTCCTACTTTCCTAGGTCAGTGTTTTCCATCGATTCACTGGGGTTCTCTGACACCTGCAGGGAGGCCTGTGCCAGACGCTGGAGCCCAGAGCACATGCCAGTTCCCGTCCTCAAGGCACTAGAGCCAGGCCTGCAGAGAGGCCACTGTGCCCCAGATGGCTTTGGGGGCAGAGAGGAGGGACCCTGACACAAGGCTTGGGGGATCAGGGGAGAAGACACGAGAGCCAGACTGAGGATGTGGCCATGCAGAGGCCTGGGGACACTGAGGGCAGGGTCGCCAGAGGGGAGACCGCCACACCCAGGGAGCCACACAGAGGTTGGGGGCCCCTCCTGGCGGGAAGCAGACTCACCTGCAGGGTGATGATGTCCTGTCGGGAGAAGGGCTCATCGCTCAGCAGGTCTCGGAAGTTCTTGGCCTTGATGTTCAGCTGCTCCACTGCCTGAGGCCAGAAGGACATGGCATCTCAGCGCCTGCTCCAAGCCCTGGCACGGTGGCCCCAGGCAGGAGGCCTGAAGCCACCCAGGCACCATCAAGAGGTGAGGAACCCTAGAGACAGCTGTGCACACCCCACGCGGCAGCGGCCCCGTGAAGGAAGAACCCACTGGGCCCCAGATGGTGACGCCAATTCAGCTCTCTGCGGCCTCCCTGAGGAGGCGCATCAGGCCGTAGCACAGATGAGCAAACAGGCTCAGTGAGCCACCGCCCAAGCCACTGCCCACTGGCTCTCCCCTTCCCTGAGCACCTCCCGTGTGCCAGGCAGGGTGCTGGGCCCAGGCAGCCAGCCCACGAAAAAGTGAAATAATGCAAATAAAATGCTGAGTGCAGAGTCCTGGAACATGGTAGGTGTTGGATAAGTCTCTTCATCAACAGTAGTTATTGTTGTTATTAATAATTTATTAATTTCTAAAGCTGTTACCAATTTTCTGAGACAAAAATTTCTCAGTGACCACTAGATGGCATTAAGGTTCATTTGCAGACAGTATGGCCCTCACTCATTTCAGCAAAAACATGGTGAAAAGTAATTTCATTCATATTGCTTTAAGTTGTGATTTAATCAGTTGTGATTTTGCATTATTTTAGGTAGGGCATGAGATGGGCCCTCATGGGGCACCATCAGCAAGGACTGAGCCAGTCCACATGCGCTTCGGGCAGGAAGTGGCCCCAGACTCCTGGGGCAGCACCGGCTGCCAACCCTGTAGACATCAGTGCAGGAACGGAAACGGCGCGAGAGCAGGCTGCTCCTGTGGTGCTGGGCCTGCCGCTGCGTGGGCAGCCAGCGTGGGAGTCTCTGCCTCCCCTCTCCCTGGCCCACTCCCAGCCAGAACTCCTCCCACAAGCCCAGGACCCACTCCTTCCCAGGGACAGGTGGCTCCACCCAGAGCCAGGGCCCAGCGCCCCCCACAACAGCCCGGGGCATCTATCCTCCACAGGGCCTGGTCTTTGAGGAAGACATGGGAGGACCCCGGGGAATAATGGCCTCTGTCCAGTAGCCAGGACCACCTGGACTCCAGGTCCGGAGGCGGCAGGAAGTCCCCACCCCCTTTCTTGACCTGTCTGAACATGGGAAGGCTGCCCAGCAAGAGCTCTGGCAGGACACCCTGTGCCAGTGGCTGTGAACCCAAAAGGACAGGCTGTGACCAGCCCACCCCAACACCCAGCCCAGCCGGCACAGCCAGGAGCACACACCTGAGGCCCCTACTCCATGTTCCCATGTCCCGGAGCAAGGACCCACCTCGTAGGCGTAGACGTTACCAGTCGTTCTGATAGCCACGATGTGGGTGTTGTTGGTGAACACGGTGAACAGCACAGGGCAGTGGTAGTTCCCTAGAGAGAAGGCACAGGAAGGCTGGTCACCCTGCATGCAGGATGTGACATCCCAGTGAGGACCAGGGGGCCAGGGCAGCAGAGAACTCAGCCCGAGGTCAGAGGACAGAGGAGGCGGAGCTAGAGGGACAGCTGTTGCTCCCTTCTCACTGTACCAATAAAAAAACTCCTATTCATCCTGCAAGACCCAACCCAGCACCAACTTCCTTGGATCCTCCATGGCCCCCAGTCCACCCCAGAGTGACACCGAACTCCTCCTCCTCCTTCTCTTGAAATCAGCCCACAGCAGGAAACAGCCCATCCTCCCAGGCACCCAGCCCCTAGCCACCTGTCCGCTTGCCTGGTCACTGCAGCAAACGCCTGACCAGCTCCCCACCCAGCAAGTCCCCACCCCGTGGCCAGGGGCCCTGTCAAATAAGCCCCAAGAAAGAAACTGCAAAGAGAAAAAAGTGGGAGGAAAACTTCTAAATTAAGAGACTCAGAGACATCAACCACACACATTTGTGTGGACTTTTTAAACATCCTGATTTGAAGATTGTAAAAAAATAATTAGGAGACAATTATGGAAACGTGACACTGGCCATTCGACGAGACTAAGGAACAGTTAATTTTCCAGACTGAGAGTGGGATTGTGATTGTTTGTCTTACATCCTTATGTTTAAGCGTTACCACAGTGAGGTATTCAGGCCTGGGATTGGCTTCGTCCACCAGTACAGAGAGAACCCTGCAGGTGGGAGGCTGCGGGGGTGACAGGCCGAGGTGGGCTCACCACACCAGCACTCTCTGCTTTCATATGTCTGAAATTCCAATTAACAATGAAACAAAGCAAAAAAAAGACTTCTAGGCTGGGCGCGGTGGCTCACGCCTGTAATCCTAGCACTCTGGGAGGCCGAGGCGGGCGGATTGTTTGAGCTCAGGATTTCGAGACCAGCCTGAGCAAGAGCAAGACCCCGTCTCTACCAAAAATAGAAAGAAATTAATTGGACAGCTAAAAATACATAGAAAAAATTAGCCGGGCATAGTGGCACATGCCTGTAGTCCCAGCTACTCAGGAGGCTGAGGCAGGAGGATTGCTTGAGCCCAGGAGTTTGAGGTTGCTGTGAGCTAGGCTGACGCCACGGCACTCTAGCCTGGGCAACAAAGTGAGACTCTGTCTCAAAAAAAAAAAAAAAAAAGACTTCTAGATCAAAGTTATTGAAAAACAAAAAAGAGAGAAAAGTTAGACCAGATCTCGTTCCTCCCTCAGCTGTTCCGGTCTTGGAGCAGAAGCGCAAGTCCTCCATGGCTGCCCGGGCCCCGCAGGAAGGCTGTGCACGCCGTCCCCAGCCCTGACCTCTCCCACCGCATCCCATGCTCCTGCCCCGGCTCACACTGCTCCCCTTCAAACATGAGCCCACCCCAGAGCCTTTGCACTGGCTGTGCCCTCAGCTGGACTGTGTTCCCAGATCCCATGGGCTCCTCCACCCAAACCTTGTCCCCCTGCAGCCCTCTCTGCCCTCCCTGCCATACTTCTGTCCACGGCAGAAGCAGCATCTGACACACCCTCCCGGGCTGTTTTCTGGCTTTCTCCCCACCAGAGCATAGGCTCCTTCATCCGGGGACAGAATGGCCTAGTTTTTCTCGGTGCGTGGCAGGCACTCAACAGGTACTTGCCAAGTGAGAGGTGCACACTGCGGCCCGCCCTGAACCAGTGATCGCAGGGGGAGGCACTGCCTGCCCTCCACTGCACTGCTGTCACTGAGGACCACTCACTCATTCACCCGTGAACCCGGCACCGACTGCGAGCTGGGCTCTGAGTCAACAAAGGAGGCCCAGCCTCACATGGTTCAGGATCCCCTGGAACACACACGCCCGGGGCGCAGGGACAACCACCTATGCCATGGCATCTGCATGGGCACAAGGCCTGGGCCAACCCACAGAGAACCCAGAGAGCAAGCTCTGGGCCCAGGCAGGGGCTGGGCAGGCGGGTCACCTCAGCTTGGGTGTCTAGCCCTGAGAACAGCGGAGGGCAAGCGGGAGATGTAGAGTGGGAGGAACCAGCGCTGGGTGGGGCCTCATGAGCAGTGGCAAAAGGCAGCCCAGCCCAAGAGCCACCTGGCAAATCCCTCTGGACCAGCAGCCCCCACTGCCTGGCCACACCCTGTCCCCCTGCCTGAGCAGCTTCAGCCTGCAGCGAGGCTCAGACCACAGCCTCAGATACGGCCTGGGCACCACAGAGACCGACTGTACCCACAGAAGCCACCAGCAGCTCACAATGGCCCGGCTGCATGTGTGGGAACCAATGGCCAACACCCAAGGCTGTGCCCCCACTGACCCCCAGCTCAAAGCGACTGGGGTCTTTGAAGAGAAAACACATGGTGCCTTTCAGAAAGCAAAAGCAAGCGCCTAGCTTGATCAGAAAGGAATGACAGATTTCGCAAGAGACCTGGGAGAGCCGGGGCCCTGGGTCCGTGGGCCAAGCCCAGGGCTGCCCGCGATGGCTCTACTCACCCTCGCTGTTCTTGGCAAAGTTCAGCTTGATCAGGGACCTCCCATCCAGTTTCTGGAGGAAGCACAATGAATAATTAATAACAAACCAGTGACTGATGTAAAGAGATGCCAGGCCACGGGGGAAGTCAGAGATACACGGGAGTGGCCATGTTTGGACGTTTTTATGGTGAGCACAGATTACTTCCGAAATTAAGAAATGAACGTATTTCTTCAGCTGTCGGGGGTATGCAGGTGTGCACTTGTTTTGTCTTACAAATATTTGAGAAAAACAAGACATTAAAAGTGGAGGGACCCTGTAATATTCTGAAAGAAAAAAACGATACAAAAAAAAGCAGAAGGAAAAGAATAAATACACCCAAATGCTAAATGTTGTTGTGATGGGAAGGTGGGATCCTTTATTTTTCTTTTTCCTTTTTCTTTCTTTTTAGAGACAAGGTTCCTAGAGACAGGCTGTCATACTGCCCCAGCTAGGGTACAGTCGCTATTCACAGGCACGATCCTGGCGCACTACAGCCTTGAACTCCTGGGCTCAAGGGATCCTCTTGCCCCAGCCTCCTGAGTAGCTGGGACAATAGGCGCATGCCACCACGCCTGGCTAATTTTTCTATTTTTCTGTAGAGACAGGGTCTCACTATGTTGCCCAGGCTGGCTTCAAGTGATCCTCCCACTTTGGCCTCCCAGAGCACTGAGACTCCAGGCAGGACTGCACTGTCATCACGCTGTTCTCAGCCTCAGATGCTGCCCCTGACGACAGAAGAGTCACCCTGTCCTGAAGGTAAGTCCTTCCTACCTCTGTGGTCTGTATCTGCTAACAAGGCTTCTGACACCAAACACACGGTGGTTTCCTCAACACACCCAATTCTCTGAATTTCCAGACGCCAACCGGGTGTCCAACCATCTGATTCAATTCTGACATGAACTCCCTGCTGTCAGCAGGAGCTCATAGGCTACGGGCGCAGTCACAGACTGTCCACTACAGACACAGCTGCAGGTCCAGGCCCCACGCCTCTGCCTGATGGGCTATAAATCAGGGCTTCTGAAACCACACTCCCTCACCTTCCCCTCAGGTCCAGCAATTTCCGAGACTGGCTCACGGAACTCAGAAAACCCTTCACCCACCAGATAAGGAGGTACAAGGGGCAAGATACAGAAAGGTCCCAAGCGCACGAGCTTCTGTCCCCGTGGAGTGGGCTGCACCACCTCCTGGCATGTGGACGTGCTTGCCAGCACAGAAGCTCTCTAAACCCTTTGCTTAGGGTTTTTAAGGCAGCTCCGCTTCACAGGTACAATTAATTAAATCACTGGCCATGAGTGACCAGCTCAATCTCCAGCCCCTTCTCCCCTGCCTGAGGTCTGGGTAGAGCTGAAAGTCCAACCCTCTAATCACAAGCTGGTTCCCCTGGGGAGCAGAGCCACCTCCTACTCCTCCTATACTCTGGTTGGGCTGAAAGGGGTTCGTCAGGAATAACGAAAAACTCAGCTTGCCCCATCACCCAGGAATTCCAAGGGTTTTAGCAGCTCTGGGCCAGGAACCAGGAACAAGAGCAAACACATACTTCTCACTATAGCACAACGCACACCTCCTCCGTCGTGCTGCCACGGCTGACTCAGAGGACTCTGCTGACTTGCTGGGGCCTCACTAGCCTGAGATCCCAAGCACAGGACAATCACCTGGTGCCACCTGCCCACCACTGGCACAGGACATGCAGTGGCCACTCAGAAAGTTCTTGCTGAACTGAAGTGGTCCCCTGACACCTGACTGCACTACTGTTACTACTAGGTCTCTGCCACCCCCAGGGAGAAAGACCTGTCTGGGGACCTCAGCACATCCCGCTGGTCCACCCTCAACGGCCTCCCTGGTCTGCTGCCTCCAGCCTGGCCACGGCCACAGGCCCAGCACACAGCAGGGGCCAACACCTTCCTGCTGGACGGACAGATGCCACTGAATAAATGAAGAAATGGGCCCACATGAGGGAAGGAGAGAAACCTCTGGGAAGTAAAGGAACCAAGAGAACAGAGAAGATGATTAAAACATGGGAAAATCATGGGTTTGTAATAAAGACACGAAGTGAGGTATTGAAAAATAGAAAAGGAAAATGAACTAGAACTTGACCCTGGGGACACACTTCCAAGCGGCACAGAATTCACAAGACATATAAGAAACTGCTTGGTCTAACTCACAATAAAAATACAAATTAAATTTCTTCTTTGGCCCATAAGTAGAAAAAATATTTTGTTTTTTTTTTTTTTTTTTTTGAGACAGAGTCTCACTGTGTCGCCCGGGCTAGAGTGCCGTGGCATCAGCCTAGCTCACAGCAACCTCAAACTCCTGGGCTCAAGCGATCCTCCTGCCTCAGTCTCCCGAGTAGCTGGGACTACAGGCATGCGCCACCAGGCCCGGCTACTTTTTTCTATATATTTTTAGTTGTCCGATTAATTTCTTTCTATTTTCAGTAGAGACGGGGTCTCGCTCTTGCTCAGGCTGGTTTCAAACTCCTGAGCTCAAACAATCCGCCCGCCTCGGCCTCCTAGAGAGCTAGGATTACAGGCGTGAGCCACCGCACCCGGCCCAAAAATTTTTAAAAAATAGATGATAACCAGTGTTTTTGAGGACAATAGACAAACAGGTGTTTTCTTTTACTTGCTGCTGTTAGTAAAAAGATGCAGCCGCATTGGAGGGCAAGGAGCCGGCGGCTACCAACGCAGAAACTGAAAACACGCCCACCCCGCGACCCAGCAGTCCCACAGGACGCCCAAAGTGCACAAGGACAGTCCCTGCACCTCTGTTTGTAACAGCAAACGATAGAGGCCAGCACAGCTAGAGAAGGACAGCCACAGCCATCACAGAACAGGGCAGCACTTTCTGCGCATGCACACTCAGATCTCCAGAGGCACCGCGGGGTGCGCCAAGCAGGGAATAGAAGGGTTCACGCACTGGGCACGCATCTATGACTCAAGAATGACGTATACACGTACATATACGTGCACAAGCAGGGAACATTTCCAGAAATGAATAGGTAGTGGGGGGGCACTGAACCTCCTCACTGTGCCCCACGAATGGTTCTCTAACACGGTCGCGATGCATGAAAACCTCTAGAATAAAACGCAAGAGGACACCATCCACCAGTGTCACTGAAACTCCTGCCTGGCCGCCTACCTCTCCATTGCTGGGGTTGGTCCCATACTTCTTAAGCCACGGAACGATGTTCCTGGAGGGAAGAGAGAACAGAAAGAATCACCATGGCGGTTGGGTGCCACTTGGTAACAAGACCATGGTCCTGGAGGTGGCTTCTGGGTTAGAGGGTTTGCTTCACTTCAGGAGGGGAAGAGCCCCAACAATGGGAAATATTTGTGGATACACAGGTTTCAAAATGTGTTCTGGTTTTTACTGTAGTTATGTATCAACAACAAAAACAAGGTAAAAAGTTATAAATAAATGTTGATATATCTGTACAATGAAATACTGGGCCAGCATCAAAAATTATACTTTCAGGCTGGGCACAGCGGCTCACGCCTATAATCCTAACACTCTGGGAGAACAAGGAGGGAGGATCGCATGAGTTCAGGAGTTCCAGACCAGCTTGAGCAAGAGCAAAACCCCGTCTCTACTAAAAATAGAAAGAAATTAGTTGGGTGTGGTGGTGTGCTCCTGTAGTCCCAGCTACTTGGGAGGCTGAGGCAGGAGGATCGCTTGAGCCCAGGAGTTTGAGGTTGCTGTGAGCTAGGCTGATGCCACAGCACTCTAGCCTGGGTGACAGAGCAAGACTCTGTCTCAAAAGGAAAAAAAAAAAAAAAAAGGAAAGGAAAAAGAATCATACTTTTAGAGAATTCTGAATCACATGGGGGGATAGCTCTCATTACTGAGTGAAAAATAAATCCACACAGTGTTATCTTTGCTGTTGTTGTTGTTTTTTAGGAGACAGGGAGGGTCTTGCTCTGTCACCCAGGCTGGAGTGTAGTGGTACAATCACAGCTCACTGCAGCCTCGAACTCCTGGGCTCAAGCGATCTTCCTGCCTCAGCCTCCCAAGTGGCTGGGACTACAGGCGCCACCATGTCCAGCTCATTTTTTATTTTTGGTAGAGAAGGGTTTCCATATGTTGCCCAGGCTGGTCTCGAAACTCCTGGCCTCAAGGGATCCTTCCACATCAGCCTCTCAAAGTGCTGGGATTACAGGCACGAGCCACCGTGCCCAGCCAAGTGTTATCTGTTAATACTTCACAACCACGTTACTACAAATAAACCCACAGAAAAAATGAGTCTCAAAACTCATTTTTGGTCATCCTGGATAGTGGGATTATCCTAAAATTTTCCCTTTTTCTTTGACATATTTTCTAAATTTTCTACAGTGAGCCTGAAACATGAAAAAATTATAGAAGCTGGCTCATGCTGGGATGCAAAACTGGGCATAATGCTTCAAAACAGAGCACTAGAAAAGTGTACACCTTAACTATGGCTCTGCTTCCATAAAGTGGAAAATACTCGAGTCAGTAACATTCCAAAACAGGCACAGGTATGCCAGTGAGAACAGCAGGACCCCACATGGGCGTCGGGGTGTGGTCAACCCCATTCCAGGCAGCGACAACAGCACTTGGCCAGCTAGAGCTGCCTGCCTGGGGGTCACAGCAGCACTGCTGCCACGTCCCTGAGGCCCTGGCTGTTCCTTCTGGTCTCCAAGAGGCCACCTAGGGCTCCTGAGGCTGCTGGGACCAGGGGTCTGTCAATGCCTGGCGTGGTGCTGCCTGGAGCCACTAACCCAACATCCCCATCCTTAGTGGCTGTCAACAATCTCACCATGTTTGTTAGATCAAAATTCAAGGAAAAACTCACAGCAAGTCAAAGACAACACCTTCAGGGGTGCAGACTGGGTAGACGAAGGGCTGTAGGGAGAGACTGAAAAAGGACAGAGTCACTCCTGGTCAGCAGCCGGCCACAGCTGGTCAGGCCATGGGCTGGCCGGGCCTGGCATGGTGACCTCCCAGGACACTGCCACAGGAGCCGTCTCTGGGCAACCTGGCCAGCTCCCTCCCTCCCAACCTTCCACCCTAATTGCAACAGCTGAGGTGCTGCCGCCAGTGAGCAACAGGATGCAGCACCAGGGCAAGCTCCAAGCATCATGACAACAACGAATAGTCATCTTCTCCCAACATGATCGCAAGGGCCACATTTTCAAAGCACATTTTTACCCATAAATCCCAGGTAGTTAAAAAATGGTCACAATGCAGACCAGAGACCCGTTGGAGGAACTGGAACAGAGGATGGAAGCATCCATCACCTCGGTTCATACCCGATCTGAACATGACCACACTCCCACAAGGCCCATGACAAAACCTGGTGGGGTGCGGCAAACCCTGCCAGTGATGCCTGGGCCTCATTTGTTCACCCTCCCCAGGCAGGTGCTGGTGAGCAGAAAAGCCTCCACTAACCACATGGGGGCCCCTGAGCAGATGCAGGAAGGGCCAGTTGTTGGGCTGCAGCAGCTGTGCCCACCGCCCCCAACCCAGGACTTCCTGCACTGTGCACAACACCTCCGCCCCTTTCCTGCTGCACTGTGGTATCCAGCTGACCTGCCTCAACTGGGGTGCCAGGATCACAGCAGAACTTTGTCAGCTAAGGTCACCCTGATCTACAGAATCAGAAGTCAGGGTGCTGGGGAGGATGCTGCATAGACATGCATGTGTCCAGGGCAGAGGTGACCATGGCTCAGGCTTGGGGAAACTCAGGCCCAGGAGGTGCCCACTCCCTCAGCCCCCCTCACCCTGGAAGGAGAAATGTGTTCGGGTTTATCAGGTCTGGTCCTGCTTCTCCAACAGGCCCCCCTTTTGTTCATACAGGTACCAATGTGGGCTGAAGGAGCATTTGAGTGGTTCTACACCTGGGTCCCTCCCCACCCAAACAGTGAACTGAGTTCCCAGGTAAGGGGCAAAGGGCCTCCCGGTATCACTACTTTTGTTGCTGCTGCTGCTGAATCTGGAACGAGAGTAAAGTGTTAAAGGCTTGGACCCAGACTCCGACCACTGGGTTCAAGACTCAGCAGTACCACTTCCTGGACATGACACCTGGGTGAGGTACTTCACTCTTCCAACATCAGTTCTCTCAACTGCAAAACAGGCTTAACACCAGGCTCTACCTCCTTAGAACGTAAGAATGAAGTTAAAAAGACAACTCACGTAAACACAGACATGATAAGCAGAAAATACCCACTGGCTGTCATCATTGGTGGGTACACCTTCTCCTTGTTCAGGGAAGAGCCAGGTGGGGAACACAGACAGAACCCCAAATGCATCCCCAAGGGGCAGACTCACTATTAGAAAGTATCAGAGAACAACCACAGGGAAAGACAAACTTGCAAAACCTTTACCTGCAGTGGTCAAAAGGTAAACGACGAAAATTTGTTTGTGGGAGATCTGTTTAAAATAAAATAAAAACCAGCAATCTTATTCTGTAAAATATTTCATCTATTTCATCATCAACAATTCGATTACATTTTATGAAAAAGTTCATGTGAATTACCTAGTAATAGCTGTGAATTAAAAACTTTTTCACAGGTATAACCAAAATACATGAGGTACATGAAAAAAGAACTGAGACAAAAACTACATGCTTTTTTACTCCTAATAAACTATGACAGTGCTCTTTTTAACTGCGGCCTTGATAGATTTGTTTTTTTTGGTTTTTTGCCCCTCCCCCCAATGGCCTTGATAGCTTTGATAGCTAAAAAGATCATTCTTTATACTCTTTATTAACCTGATAAAGAAAAAAGTTATATTAACCTACATTTTAAAAACTCACCAAGATGAAACATGTTCTCTTTTATTGAATATATTTCCTCTTTTGTGAACTATGTCCTCAGCCCATCTGTCTACCACAGTTTCTGCATTCTTGTTAATCATCTATTTTTACAGCTCACTGTGTAATGAAGACACTATTCCTTAATGCCACCCCCCCAAGGGGGAACAGAAGGATTTCATGCCTTACCTGGCTTCTTGCCACCATAGAAGTGAGTGTATTCAGCACAGGTAATGTACCTGATGGGCAGAAAGGGAGAGAGAATGCTACTACCACCCCCTTCATAAAGAGGACTGAGTCTTTAGAAATCAGTAACCAACAGGTGATGAACTTATTGACGGGCGGACAGAGACACTGTGCTGATTGTCATGTTCTGATCTGGTTAAAAAAAAAAAAAAGAAACGAGTAACCAATGACGTAATCTTTGCTCATTCAACAAATGCTATGAAACACCTACTGTGTGTCAGGCAACGGCGATAAATACAACAGACATGGGGATACACAAACAAGTCAACAAATACACACAGTCCTGCTTTGCTCTGAAGGAAAGAAACAGAATTTATCAGACCTGACAATGAGAAGGCGCTGTGGGAAGAGCTTTCCAGGCAGAGGGAGCAGCATGCACAGCACTTAGCAAAGCCTTGAGGCAGGAAAAGCTGGGTGTGTTCCAGAAGAAGGGGGCTGTCGCTGGAGAAGAATGTGTGCAGGGCTTGTGGCAGATGAAGACAAAGACATGGGCAGTGACCGGATCACAGGGGCCTCACAGGCCATGGTAAACACTCCAGATTTGCCCTAAGTGGGATGGAAAGCTGTCAGAAGGTTCTGAGCAGAGCCCTGATGCAGAGCCCTAACGTTAAGTCTCAAAGCATCAGTCTGGCCACTGTGCGTGGGGCACAAGCAAGAGAGACACCACAAAACCAATCAGGAGATGACTACCAAGGTCCAGGAAGGAGGTGGCATAAACTCCACCTAAGGGGCAATGGGGACAAAGTGAGAAATGTCAGTTCCTGAAACAGCCAGCAGGACTTCCTGATGGACAGGAAGATGTAGGTGAGAGGCACCAAGGCCAGCTCCCTGACTTTCAACCTGGGCAAACTCAGGACCAGCAGGTGTGACTGCTGAAATAGGAAGGCTGGGGGAAGAGTAGGTGCAGGGGCTGAAAATCAAGAGTTCCATCTGGGGCATATAAAATCTATCAGTCCTCCAAGTGGAGGTGTGGAGTAAGCAGCTGACTATTGCAAGACTGGAGAGATCTCCCACAGAGAACATTTATGGAGAAGAAATCTATGAGGTCCAAGAGAAGGGAGGAGGGTCCAGCAAAGGAGACTGGGAAAAGACAGGCCATTGAACTAGACGGAAAACAAAGAGCATGTGGGATCCCAGAGACCAAAGAAGGGCTTCAGAAGAGGGGTGGCAACCGCGCCGCATGCTGTTGAAAAGCTCAACAAAATGAGAACTGAACACTAGATGTAGCGACACATACGTCACTGGGATCCCGACAAGAGCCGATTTGGGGGCAAAAGTCTGAGTGGAGTGGTTTCAAGAGACAGAAGAAAGCAGCGAGTAGTCACAGGTCTTTCACTTGTTTCCGAGGACGAGAATCTCAGAAACACGGTGGCAGCTGGAGGGGACCACGGGGCACGGCGGCTTGTTTTCAGTTGGAAGACTGCAGCATGTGTGCAAGCTGACAGGCGTGACCCAGCACACAGGGACACTGGAGGTACAGAGGAGGGAGAGACTACTAACTCGGGAACAAAGCTGGCGCGTGTTCGGGAGGCAGCCCGGGGCAAAAGCAGAGCGGTAAGGAAAGAAGGAGCTCGCGGAGCGCTGAGGCCGGCAGAGGCCACACTCGGGAGACCGCAGCTGACCATGTCCGAGCCGGGATCCCGGAGACCACGGCGGCTGGGGGGTCATTACCCTGCCTGGGGAGGGAGCGGAGGCTTCCGTGAGGAAGCGACATTTGGGACGGGCTCTGGGGACTAGCTGAGAGGGAAGAGGAGCGCCGCGAAGTGCGGGACAGACGGGGACTTACGCAGAGCGGGGCTCCGCTCCCGGCTGCGGCTCAACTTACATCTTGTCCTTCTGGTGCTGTCGCTTCCCCATGGTGGCGACGGCGGGGGAACCAGTGAACACAGAAAAGCGACGAAAGACAATTCAGACCCAGGAGCCTTACCCGGGTCTACGACTACTTCCGGGTTCCGCGGCCCCCGCCCCGGAAGCGAGCGCTCGGCGGGCCAAGAACTGCGGCCCGGGCGCCAAGTGCGCATGTTCTGAGGGGCCTGCGGCCGGGGTCCGAGTCCCGGGCTGAGCACTCCTGCTCTCTCTTGCGCCTTCTGGGGCCTGGCTGCTTCCGCCTCGAAGCCCCATCTTCTTGAGGGGCCTCTCTCTGGACGCCCCGTTTACCCGCCCAGCCATGGCTCAGTGCCATCCCCGCTCAGACCCACTCTGGCTTCTCGGATCTTCTAAAATGTCTTCCTGGCGTCCTAAGTCCCACCCATCTCTGCTCCGTCCCAGCTCCCTCGGCCGGAGAGCGTCCAAGGCGATCTCCACCGTTGCTGTCTACTCGCTCAGCTCCCATTCTTTCCGTGCATTTGATCCCCACCGTCTCCAGGATCCTGGGCGGCCCAGCAGCAGGGGCCCATCAAGCCGGGAGGTCCAAAGTCCTCCCTGGTCCCTTCTGCCTCTTCTGCCAGACCCTTCTCTCAGGCCAAATGTGTACGTTCCTGCGCCCCAGTCTGAGCCCCTGGCTTCCACCTACACTCAGGCCCCCGGGGCAGTCTTGCCCAGGATCGCGGTTTTAAACATCATTTGTATAATATGACTCCCACCTAAGTCGCTGGCGCTCCAGACTCCTGACCTCCATTTGGGTAACAAGTGATCTCAAGTTTAACATGGCTGGCCAAAGCAGAATTTTCTCTCTCTTCCCCCACACCTCACCCCGCTACTCCTAGTCCCCACTCTCCTGAAGGTACCAACACCACCCAGTCGCCCAAAGCCAGTGGTTCTTGCCCTTTCTCATGACAGGATGCTTCCCATCATCTAGGTTTCAACGTAAGTGTCGCCTCCTCAGAGAGACCTTCCCTGACCACCCACTCCACACATCTCCCATAGCGTTTGTCACAGCTCTAATCCTGTAGTCATTTGGTCCACATACTGGTTTACCACTGCCCTCCCACACACAGGAGGATGGGACGTAAGCTCCTTAAGGGCAGGCATTGCCACTGCTCAGCTCATCATCTCCAGTCCCTAGCGAGGTGTGGGCATACACCAGGGCTCAGGAAATGTCTGCAGCTGTCCAGTAGTCATCAGGCATTTAGTGAGGACCCACATCTCACCTGCAGGTTAGGTTCAAAGGTCCTCATGGGGCAACAATGAGAGTCACATATCTTAGAAATTCCTTGGGGAGGTGCCAAGTTGGAAACTGACAGGCCAGCTCGTTTTTCCTCCGGAGAGAAACAGATCACTGTTTCTAAACCTGTGCATCAGATGACACCCGTGTGTTTAGGGGCCAGGTGTAGGAAAAATACACTAGACTTGGAACTTGCTTGGGTCGAGAGAGGCCTGAGGGCTCCACAGAGTCACAGAAGGAAAGGGAGCACTCCGCCGCCCCATTTCTCTTTCAAAGTGCATATGACTGAATTGTCATGGTAGAGTGCAAGTGAGGGGACCTCAGTGGTGCCGACAGGACCCTGGCCACCTCTTGGGGCTGGAGGAAGCCCATGGGATTGCACAGCCTTAGGGATCCCAGCATAGGGAAGGCACCTCTGCAGGAACTTTATTCATTCCTTGGGCCACAGTCTGTAGGGAAGAGGTCATGGGCTGCTCTTGTGGGTCACAGACTCTGTGCTACCAGGGTTGTTCTCTGAGTCGTCTTTGGGTCTGGGCACAGGATGGAATTTCAGTAGGACAGGTGGGGAGAAGATGGAGGCCTTCACAGCAGGGGCTGGAGTCTCGTCGGTGTTGGGGGAGTTACTACAGGCCGAGTTCCTGCACAGGAGACATCCAAGACATACCCGTGAGGTAGGATACCAACACATAGGGCCACAATAAGTACAAGTGACAAAACCCCAGGCTATGGGATGGCTCCTAATACATTGCTACTTCCAGAAACGTCTCCCATGGATGTGTGTTCAAGGCTGTTCATTGCAGCAATATCTGTGATTGCAAAAACCTGAAAACCATCCAAACATCCATGAGAGCACAGCTAAATGAACCACGGTGCAGCCATGCACTGGACTATTCTGTAGCTCATTAAAGAAACGAGGGAGATATCCCAACAAGCAATGATATCAAGCACGGGGCAAAATAAGATGTCCCAATGGTTTATTAATGGCAAAAAGCAAGTTGCTGAGAAGTACATGCAATATGCTCTTAACTTAGGTTAAAAAATTAACCAATGTATTTGCATTGGACAAATACAGACACAAAACATTCGGAAAGGTACACATGAAACTCTAAGCAGTGGACTCATATTTTACATATTCACTTCCATATTGTGAACTTTTTTCCATGGAATATATTCTGCTTTTGTAAACTTGTTAAAACCAATTAAAAATAACCCACCTTTGGTGATAGTATCATGAGAGTACAGCTCATGCTGAAAGCAAAATGAACCAAGAGCCTAAAAATTGTCCCCACCAGGGAATTATTTCAACAAGCAAGAATGATGTTCCATCCATACAATGGAGTATTTTGCATCTATTATTATTGGTGAACTTGAAGATAGTTTTAATGACATGGGAAGAAACTCACATGCTACTGTTGGCTACAGAGCTGCCTAACAGGACACTCCCAATCCCACTTATGTACTGGACTACAACATGTGCATATACACGTGTCCACAGGGAAAAGCCTACATTGACATACAGACAAATGCTAACCGTGGTTATTTCTGGTGGTGAGAATGTGAGTGACTTGGCGTGTCTTTTCTGTATATGTTTCAGTTGTCTACGGTAAACACATTGCTTTTAGAATCTGAAAAAAGATGGTCCTTTTGTTAACTTTTTATACTCTTTCCTTTGTAACCTCACCTCAGGGAATTCATCTGAAATTCAGGAACAGCTTTGCACATAAGGATGTCAATCCCAGCACTAACTAGACTATGGGAAAACTGGAAGCACCTGCGGTGTCTCCCAGCGGAATGAAGCACTTATGGTGCCACACATGCAAGTTGGTTATTACCCAGCGAGTAAAGCTCGTAGTCAAACCTGCCAAGGTGCATTCAACTCCCCGGGCCTTAATGTTAACTGACAATGGCAAGATTTAAAAAAAAAAAAAAGACATTGTCCAGTTGAATCACAACTTGATAAAACTATGCCTAGAAAAAGCTAGAAAATATCAAAACACCCTAATGATGACCATAGCCCCACCCTATTGCTCCACTGTTCTAAAGGACATAGCCACGCTCAATAAAGCTTTACTTTTAAATTTTACTTTGTAACAACATTGCAAAAACTCCTTCTCTGTGACCCAGCACTCAGTCACCTTCCCACCCCTGTGCCCACCCTTCCTCTGATCTGATTTGATAGCCTATGGCTTCTACCTGGATGTAATTCGTGAATCTGCATAATTGTGTTTAACACACTGCCTGCCACATTATAAAAAAAAATTTTTCCCCAGGGGCCACAGTGTTTAATTAAAACAAAATGATCCTTTCTAACTTGTTATTTTTTATTGTTTTCTGTGCATGAGTCATATGCAATGCAATCCATGTTTTTAGAATTAAATTGTCAATGTTAATTATAACAATAAGAACATCAACAGGTAGGATTTTCACCAACCAACTGCAGGGTTTTTCTTCACGAGGCCCCAGGCTCAAAACTAACCTGAGTTAACTATAAGTCACATGGCAGTCAATGTGCTAATCATTTTTATAATTATAATATTCCATAATTATGTGAATGCACACTTGAGCTGTTTCCAGTTTTTAATCTTTTTAACCGATGTTGCCATAAACATTTTTACACAAATGGCATTTTTATTTTCCTTATTATTTTCTTGGAGCCAGTTTCCAGGACTAAAAACATTGGATCAAAGAATTTGAGAAGGCCAGGCGCGGTGGCTCATGCCTGTAATCCTAGCTCTCCGGGAGGCCGAGGC